CTTTGTCCATGTACGAATCCCACAACATATGAGCATAAGAGCAAAGAAGAGACTACAAACTGCGATAACGACCGGCTGTAGGGTCGGTGGGTTTTCAGAAAAGGATTGAACACCTGGAGGTGGCGTTCCTGCCGGTATGGTAATAAGGACTGAGTGTGGTAAATTTACTATTTCTGCAAGCTGCTCTTGAAGAGGAGATTTGCGTCTGAATAATTGGATAATTGGACTCATAATTCCTTTCTGCTTGGGATGAATTCAAGAATAAAAATGATATGATGGATGAAGATAAGTTCAAGTAAACAGTGATGAGAAGTATATGGATAAGTATGAATTGTGAAATAACTCAACATGACACAGTCTAGATTAATTGAAGAGGAGCTTCCATCACCAGCATGTATCTAGCACGAAGACAAAGGATAGCAACATCTCATGCTTGACTAGTTCGAGACCAAAGTCAAACCTCGATAGATGAATAGAATTGTTGAAAGAGGCGCCTTCAACGAATATGTGGTCTGCGGAAAGTCCCCTCGATCTAACAAGGAGGCGTCAGATCATGAATACCTCAAGATCACACGAGCCAAAATCACATCCTTTATTCTAGTTTGTCTTGAGAATAGTCGAAGAGCCTGAAAATTTACTGAGAGGTGGTAAAATTATGAGGAAGTCAATTACTTTGATTAGTAATGATACGAAGAACAATGAAACCATTGCAATAGAAAGCAGAAAACTGGAGAGATCTAGGACGTTTTACCAGATACTTGGTTGGGATTGGATAGGAACAAACAAAGAATTACGGCAATTCAAAACTGAGACAGTGCGGTCCACCAGGTCCAGAAGTCCAATGTCTAGCGTGCGTCGTTGGATAGTATACTGACATTTATGGTTAAAATCTCGTGGTGGTAAAGTCTGATCTGAAGATGAGGTATCGCAAGGGGACTGAATTCAATGCATTCTGTGACATGAACACGTCAACGACATGTGTTTCTCTGAGCTGATAGCCTGTGAAGGTAAAAAGGTTGTAATCAATATCGTGTGGGAAAAGCTAGCAAAAATGGCATAATCCTGTATGGATTGAGTATCTAAAGCGTGGGCTCGGTAGAAGGGGCAACGCATGTGCGGTGGTACTACCCATGTCAAATCGAAAAGAAACTCGCGCCAATACTACACACAATTACCAGAGAATGAACATACAACTTTGGTAAAATTTTGAGCGGTGATAGAGCGCAATAAAAGCGCGGCAATGGGAAGAAATTGTGCTGCAAGACCTTTCGTCCACCGCTAAATTGACCTGAGGATGATAAGTGCACCCCGAAGTACCGAAATTCCATCAAGATTGTTTCATATATCTGTACGTTCCTAAATCTCCATTCACCAGATCTATCATCTCCAGCAGAGTTTTCTTGGAAGAAAACCCAATAATAACCGCGATTGGTATTAGCGTGCCTGCGTCCAAATTGAGCATTTTGAGATCTAACTCGACGTTAATTGTCGAGCACGGAAAAGCTTCGACAGCTACCAGTTCGACTGGCAGAATTATGCCGTCAATTCTTGCCTGGTATTGTTCCAAGGGTGTCAATGCATATCAGCACAAAACCACTCTGGAAAAACGATTAAGGCTTTGAGACCTCCACCTTCCGGGGTATCGTGAGCAAAAATCCCCCTTGCCTTGGTATTATCTCCCAATCATTATCACCCTATCATCTCAACCCCCTGAAATCAGACATTCAACGTCCTTTTGCCAAGGTCCTCGATACAGCAATCCGCAGTTGCGTGCCCGATCATCATCATTGCGTATATTCTTGTATGTTCATGCCCGAAGATTCGTCGTCAAAATCTTGGTTCCATCTCGCACAGTTACCATTTCCAAGGTATCTTCTCATTGCGGCACAAATACATCGAACTTTACCGATCATTGATTCCTCGAATTGTTGGCAGATAGTAACGTCGTGGATGGCAAGAAAAAAATGGTTGGAAGTTGAATAATTTCGGTCGACGCTCGCCAGGGCTCGAAGACCCCGGAACGGAAAATCCAGTACCCCGCATAGCCATTTTGGCTCAACTGCAGGTGGTTCAAACTAATTGGTTATTCCGATTCTATCTTCGGCCATCGCCCGAGAAACAAATGGGCATCACCAAATGTAATTATCACATTCAAAGCCGGCCGAAAAATATTAGGGACTGTTTGCCCTTCTATTTCGCCTGACACTAACTAAAGATTTTGTCCACATAAGCATGCCACCTTGTCTTCGGAGGTCTTTCAACGTAATTCCTCGTATACTCTTCAATCTCTTCCACCTCATGAGTTCTCAATATCACCTCATGCGGTTTTAACCATTTTGTTTTCTTTACAATTTTCCATCCGATAAAAATAATTGGAAAGATACCAACCATTGCATAGGAGAAGAGAAAGGTCGGAACATCCCACTCACCTGTCACAAAAGTTAGTTCTTTCGATCTAGGAGGCTAGAAGGATTCGTAGTATGTTGGGAAAGAGGATGTTAGAGGATGGGAAAATGTTCGACATACCAGGCAGGAAAACTGTATATCCACCAACAAAAGTCATGATAAAACATCCTGTCAATGCATAATATGCACTGAATGGTTGCCAAAAACTTGTATGCGGTAATGTATTTCTATCAAGTCCTTGCGCATCGCATGCTTTCTTCCACTGCATCAAGTCAGTATTGCCTGCATAACTAATGCGAGAATCCAACGTCTCCACTTACACATATAAAGGTATAAGCCATCACGCTGAAATTGATCAATTGACTTGCAGTAACCAAATTAACAAACCATTGAAGCACTACCGCTGCATTATTTGATACTTGCAAAAAGCTCAATAATGCAACGGCCAATGTAGCACAAACACAATAGATTGGAACGCCTTCCTTTGTGCATTTGGTGAGGAACTTGGGAGCTTTTCCTTCAAGTGCAAGTCCGAAAAGCGATCTTGATGCACAATAAACATAAGAATTGCCCGCCGAGAAAGCAGCCCCAAGGACCATGGCGTTAACAATATCCGGGAGAATCCTGATTTGAAGTCGATTCATGGCGACTACGTAAGGACTAGCTGCTGCTCCGGGTAGACCATTGGTAAACGCATCTTTGAGTTCTTGGTCATTGTATGGAACCAAAATTCCCACAGCCAAACTTCCCAAAACAAAAAATGCGGTAAGCCGATAGAAGACACCATTAAATGCTCTAGGCATCACAACTCTAGGATTTTGGGCTTCGCCGGCTGCCATTGAGACATAATCTGGACCGGCTATTGTGAATGAGGCTTGAATGAGGCATTGCAAGAATCCTAGAAAGCGACCAAGAGACCCCGTTTTATAAAGTTCGGTGAATGCTCCTGGATTGGACCAAAATCGGAACCCGAATCGATCATGAAGTGGATTTCCACCCAGCATCGTGATGAAAGTGAATATTATCAGACCAACAATCAAAAGAACTTTCCCCATGGCGAGGTAAAATTCTGATTCTCCATACCATCTAACAGCAAATAGGTTGATAAAGCTATGATGGTTGTTGTTAGTGGTTTGGGCAGAAGAATGAAATTCGAAGTAACATACCCATAAAGGACTATAACAATAGCAATGATCCCACCAGCGGGAACTGCATCACTCCAATAATGAATGATAATATTACAAGCTACGATTTCGAATGGAACTAGAGCGGCTTCAAAGATAAAAAAGTTGTATCCTGCAGCAACTCCGAAAGCTTCATCGACATACCGACCAGCGAATCGTATGAATGGAGATGAAATTGGTAGGTAAGTTACCATTTCTGCCATACACTAAAGTTCCCACAATTAGGAGGGTGAACAATGACCGAGAGGGAATACTTACATTTGTGACGGCCAAAATGAAGGTGCACCTATCATTTCAATATATCAGATGATGATTTCGCTGCTCCATATTCGACAATGGTCTAGAGAGAAGTATACATACCAAATAGTGAAGGCCAAAAACAAACTTCCCGGTCCACCATTTATTAACCCATGACCAATTTGAACATAAAGCGCAGTTCCAATTGTCCCTCCAATACCGATCAATTGAATATGTCTTGGTCTTAATTGTCGGTGGGTAGAATCATGTGTCTGGCTAATGGATATGGTTTCATCATGATATGGTGGAGAGAAGGTATCAAGTACTTCTTCTTCATGCATCTCTTTGAGATAGCCATCATTTGCAGGTTGTCTATATGAAGCGATACTTTCATGATTGAATGGATGGGGTGGTTCAATACCAGAAGAAGACATGATAGAAAGGATGTTGATTCGGGAAGAAAATCGAAGAAAATATTTCATCTCTCAATCGAATATATTGTCAGCGGGCAAGAAGACCCAGCCAACTAACGGTTAGTTACACCAATACAGTTCGTCCGTGCCCCCACTAAAACATCGACATCGACATGGGCAAGAGTGAATGACAAGGAAGAGAAATCCCCTCCCCCCGCAAATCGTGGGAGGGGTGGCATGCCATTTGGAAAATGGGATTTCTATTGAGGCTCGAGCATAAAGCAGAGAACAGTTCATATGACAGTAGGGCAAGCCCTTGGCTTTTCTACGCCCTCTGCGATCTTCATGTCTGCAGTGCAACCTTTGAACAATCATAAGATTGCAACCATGGGTCGGCCATCCCGTAAGGTTACTAGCACCCATGGACTATGGTCTATGATTGATACGATGCCGGTACCTAGCCTGAGGCAGCTCGGCAAGCTTGGAAAGGCTAACACGGTATGAAATGAATAGATAACGAAAAGCTTCGGTTTCTCTCCAATTTCGACTTTCTCATTGGCCGCGCATACAATGTAGACTAATGAAGTTTTTTTTTTTTTACAAGGGCCAAAAGGGCCTCGGTTTGATAACTTTAGGAGTTCCAAGGTTCCGTGAGAATTCCTCAAGCCACAATTGCACCGCCGCATTAAACGTGGGGGTCCACGTGCTTGGATTCTTCTCAAGCTCTCTCTCATGTACGACTACTACTGGACTGGCATTACCAGATTGCTTTTACTCGTACTATTAACTTTCAAGAAGCAATATCTTAGACAGCATTCCTCGACTGCAAATGCGGTCGAATGATCTACCTTGAGAATTAGCTTCGGGTTGCATTCCAAGAGAGTCATAATTCTGTGCTTGTGGTCCAAATGTTACAGAATGTTGTTGCATCTGCTCCTTCCGCCATTGAATATGGTGTCGTGGCGGATATGAACAATTCTGTCGTTGGTGAGTACAGCGTTTTTTTGACATCCATATCCAGTTTTTGTGTTCTAACTTGTGTTCAGTGTATTTCTTCTGTGAACAGAGAGATGATTGGGATTTCCATGGTTGATCAACTACCATCAATGTAAGATTATGTTATAGCAACTCTATTCATTCAATCTTCCTGAACTTCACCAATCTTAAGTCGGACTTTCAGCGACGGACTCTGGTCCAGTTTTGGGGCACGTGATAGGTGGACCATCATCAAATAGTGTAGGTTGGAGATGAACATCTTATCTTCTTGCAATTCTCGACAGCATATTTTGATAGCTGTGTACTAGCGCGCCCGCTCATCCATTGTCCCCCGATAACTATCATTTCTACCATAATAATTCTGTGCTCTTGATTCCGGAGTATCGCGTTTGATCGAGTTGAGATAACTGCGGAATGATTTGCTCAATTCGAAAACTCTTTCAAAATGTCCCTTTTCCACATTAATGGGATCACTTTCTTTATACCCACGTTCCCCTTTGGCTTCGAAATCTGCAAGTGAAATCGCAGTTTGAAGTGCGTTACGGATTTCTCTTTTGTTCAAACCTATACCCAAGCGTTCGGCATCTTGCTTCACACATTTCTTTGTATCCAGACTCAGTTTAATCTTTCCATCGGTTTCGTTGTACATTTTTTCAAAAAGACCGTCCCAGATTTGACGACGACTCTCGTCATCAAGAGGTGGATATTCAATCACGACATGAACACGTGAGGTAAAAGCTTCATCGATCTGACCAACTCGATTCGTCGTGAGAAAAAGGAGACCTTGAAAATATTCCATCTTACGTAGAAATGCTTCAACAATCGTTAATTTCTTTCGAATTTAATGTTTGGACTTTTTTCTCAACATACCCGAGACAATTCCATTACGAGCAAGATCTGTATGTTTACGACGTTCGAGAAAAATGTCGGCCTCGTCGATGAGCAAGACGGCTTTCCATCGCTCTGCAAGATAAAACCATGAAGAAAGCTCCGTCTCGATCATATCTTCTTTGGTTCCAATATCTGCAATGGTCAAAGCAAGTAGAGGTCTGCCTGTCGAAATCGCAACACATTCTATTTAGTTCGAGTCAGCCGAATCAACCAATCAACAATTGAAGAAATCTCAAATCTTTCATACCAACAGAGTAAGTCTTTCCCACACCAGGCGGCCCTAACATTCAATCACATCAGCGACTATACAGGAGATTTTTACTTCTCAGAATGGTGGTACGTGCCGTGAAGAAGAATAATGACTCCTCTTCCTTTGCCTTTAATAGAGTCCGCATACCACTGGGCTTTTCCGGTATGCTGGCTAGCAGAGAGTGCCTGGATGATCTCGTGGAAGCCTTCCTTAATAGGCTGCGCATAAATTATCTGTACCTGTGGATTATCTACAAATAATCTGCTTTGTAGATTATCTATTAAAGGTTTTATTTGCTTTACAGGTTATCTATCAAGGCTTTAAAATTATTTGCTTTATATAAATAATCTATAGATTATTTATAGATAATTTATTTATTTATAGATAGATGAATTATTTGTAGATATATAGGTTATCTATAAATAATTTATGAATATATAGATTCTCTGTTTTTTTTTGTTTAAAATATAAAGCTATTTTTAGATTATTTTTCAGTCCAAAAATAATTCAAGTTAAAATTTATATTAATTTTTATATTAATTATAATATTATATTAATATTATAAAAGATTATAAATAGTTATATAATATACAAGTAAATGAATATCTATAGATAATTTATATCTGTTCTGCAAATTACCTATTCAGATTTTTGAATTATTCGCTTTGTAATAGATAATCCATAGATTACCCACCAAGGCCATTATTCGCTCCGCAGGTACCTGTTGCGCAGTCTATTCCTTCATGACCGGCTTAGGTGGATTCGTAATGGGTTCTATCTCATGCATACGCTCGACATGCCCGGTACCTATGTAACAATCAGTCAGCATCGCATAGATACTACTATCTCCCAGGAGGTGAACATCAGCAAGAGATAATACAAAAGTGCTTACACCAAGACTTTATATCCAGAGCATAGCAGGGAATCGATGGCAACATCAAAAAAAGCTGCTCTTTCGAGAGCTTATCAAGTTCAATGCTTTTAAGTTCTCCGAATTCCTCCAGTTTCGCAAGTTTAGACGTTTGAGTACGTTCGGCATCACCGTCTTCGTCATTTTCGTCATCATCAGAAGAACCATAGTCACGTCCCATCCATTTATCATCTGTCAATCCGTTAGGTCGAGACGTCCATTTCGAAACAGTGTCAGCTTTCATTGCAAGCCCCTGAAGATCTCATCGACGATAATTCTGCCATGATACTATGAATGATAAGCCTAATTGAAAAGTTTGCAAAAGAGAGAGATAGCACCTGTCGTTCCTCCTCTTCCGCAGTCTTCCCCTTGTAATCCATCTGCTTATGTCCACTCTTGAGCAAAGTCATTTTCTTCAGACCTCGATCCTCGAATTTTTTGCGTCTAGCGTTATTGTCATTTGCATCCCAATACTCTCTTGGTATTACTTTCAGGGAGGTAATATCACGTTCCCCTTCGAAACTACCAATTTCGAATGGTGTTTCAATCCGATAAGCGTGATAAGACCATTCAAGATACCAGACAGAGACGTTCCAGTTAGTTATCTTGGAAGACTTCCTCTTCGCCTCGGGATTAACTCGCAGTATGATACAACCAATCCACTCATTGTCGAACTTATAATAAGCAAGTGTTCCTGGCTTGAGAAGATATCGAAGTCCATCAAAGCTCACTGTCGGAACTTTATTTTTCAATAGAGGTAGGATTGGCTGAAGCAATTTCATTGATTGTGGCTTAATGAAATCAAGAAGAGCTTTGAGATGTTCTGCTTTCTCTTTATCAGCTTCAGTGCATTCCAGTTGCTCTGTCAATTGAGTATGCTTCTCGTGAAGCTCTTTCTCATGATGAATCAATACCCAATAAGGCTTTTGGATGATTACAACTCGCCCATCGAGGTTTTGACTATCGATTGGTTAGACGAAGTAGAATACATGAGTACATTACGGATTTCACCTTGGATAATAATCAACCACCTCTCGAATCACCTCAATGAGACTTTGAGAATGAATGTGTATTCTTGTTTCAAAAATCTCAGTGATTTTAACCAAGTCTTTCCCTCGAGCTTTGGTCACTGGCAGCTCCACCGTTTGAGAATTTGGTGCCTCAATTTTAGATTTTTCGGCATCAGATCCTTGGGTTTCGTTACATTTTTTGAGGTTTTCTTTCTTTGGGTTTTCAAGATGCTCTACATATCCTTGAGCTACCACGATGACCTCGAAGATTGTGAGCCTTGGAGTTGACTCGGGCTGGTGATTCTCTTCGTCGAGTTTAAAGTCGCCATTGAAGATGGTAAGGTCGAAGAGATGGTTCTCCTCTCCGATCAAGAGCCGCTCGTCGGTTTTGACATCATCTAAATCTAAAGTATATTTGATTATTGCGTCGGCATTCTTCGAGCTCTCTGGTGACTTTTCGGACAAAGAGATGTGTGAGACCTCTTCTGTGGGCACTTGGATATCTGGCTCCGAGATAGGAGTTGGCATCGAATCTGCAGCTCTTTTGGCGGAAGGTACGTCTTCGATCTCTGAATTTTCCATGGCTGCTGGAAGTCTAATGCTTCTGTCTTAAACTAATAGTAGACGATATATGTGCGGTAAAGTTATAGTATTCAAGTCGAGTACTGCTTCAGATTTAAATTCGTAAGTGAAAGCCCATCATCCAGATTTCTTGGAATTGGCTTGCGCTATATGATATTTCAAACTAAATCAAGACGCAATTCATGAACCTATCCTGCCAAGCGTAAACTTCATGACCCATGAAAATAAGGCTCCGTGGCAAGGATGTATATATAAGTACAGGCTTATTAGGATTTCCAAAAGAAGAAAGTAAGATTACCCGGTGATAAGATATTGTAAGATCAGGGTGTGGTTAACTGCATGGCCCCCGCAGATCATGCACAGCTATCACTTCTCTTATCACGTACCCAATAGGAATTGCATGTGTTGTTAGTTAGAACATATCACGTTAGTAATTCTGGGAGGCTCATACTGCATAGCCACTTGCCCCGAGATATAATTAATCATTGCATACAACATTCAACTGCCAGACAACTTCTCCAAATCATCAGAATGTCGTTCGATGCTGAAGGTTTGTACCTTGTGAGACGTTTTAGTGAACTTACTCGCAACGAAAAGATTGCCGAGCCACTTTCCCAAGGACTTGCGGAAAAATTAGATCATGACATTGAACGGGAGAGGAAGGGGAAGTATTTCTACAAGGAGGTGACTCAAAAAACAAAGAAGGTCAACCAAATGACAAGAAATTACGGCCATGATCTATACTCGTGAGTCTTCCATAAAATTCCCGATGCATTTGTTCAACGTACTACCTGGAGTTTCAATATGGAGATTGAAGCTCTAACATAGCCTAGATTACCTGGCTTCTTAGAAAGCAAGCTTTAAAATCTGGAGGAGAAAAGTGAAGAACTCTCAGTAGCATGGAGAAACCTCGAAGACAAGCTCAAGCTGGATAAATCTGGGGTGCCAATCACGAGTGGAAATAATGGCACGGATATTCTGCTTTTGACAATACAGCTTCAACAAGATATTTTGCAAAAGAAGCAAGAGTCCAAGGGTGCTAAAGTCAAGACTTTCCTAAAAAGAACTGTACAAAGTCTAGAGAATCACAAGTATCTCTTTGCATTGCTACCGAGTGGGGACAGGTATACCAGCGTATTCACTGGCGCCTTCTCTGCCTTGGTCAAGGTACGATACTATCAAACATGGTATGAGAGAATCACAGAGCTGACAAGGAGCTTTACAAAGGCAAGCGTAACTAATAGCAAAATCGCGGACGAGATATCTGACGCATTGGACGATATATCGGACCAAGTCCGATCTTTTGGAATTGCGGCTGCCACCACACGATATCAAAGATCTACATACATCAAATGCCATATAACTGAATTTTATATCCAGCTTTTTGACTTCCTTGAAGTTATAATTCGTGAATGGTATCAATCGTCTTGGAAACGCTTTTCGAAATCGCTTGGTCGTTCATTCTTAGAAGAAACCGTTCAAAAGACAGTTCAAAGGTTACAGACATATACGACTCGAGTCGCAGCAGAAGAGAGACACATATCTGAAGAGCAGAATCGTATGCAATTATTGCAGATTGGAAATATGGTGCAAAAGCTTTTACTGGACATTAAAGAACTGAAGGACAGATTAAACGAGATCAGTCCCCCAACCACACCAGAATCGAAATGGCAAAGGGGTTTCGGTGGGGCTTGGAATCATTCAGGCGTTCATAGTAATAGCCTCAACTCTTCATTAGATTCTAGCCCTCGCTGGTCGAAAAGAAGTATGCTTGAAGACAGCGAATTTCTTCGTCAATATGTACAAGCTTCTGTTGATGTCGACAGATTGATTGTGATGGGCCAATCCCTAGTAGTCAATGCTAATATCTCGACACGTATCCGACAGTGGATCATAGCACCTTCGTCTAGAATTCTGTGGATTGAAGGTCCACATGGCGTAGAACAGCCTAGCCAAAACGCTTTCGTATCGGCTTTTGTTTTGAGGAATCTTCGGCTTACTCATGTTCCAGTGATGGCCGAGTTCTGTCACTATGATGCAAAAGATTGGAGGACGTGGAATCCAGCAACCGAACTTCTCAAACTTGTCTATGGTCTTATCGGACAAACTATAAATATGATGGAGGATGATATTGAGACAGATGGAACATGTCCTGATTTCTCCGCCGAGCGCTTCCAAAGACTGAAAGAGAATACTGACGCACTACCAGCGGCAATCCAGTTGTTAGCAGATCTAATTTCAGTCGGACCAGCTCTAAAGTTTTGCATTATCGATGGTTTGGAGATATTCGATGGGTTTGAAGGGAGTACGCTGCTCATGAAGAGTTTCAAAGACCTGATTGCCCTTGTATGTAAATGTGTTGCTGCAAAGTCGTTCCCAGGTCGAGAACGAATTTTCAAAGTACTTTTCACAACCAATGGTTTTGTGAGAGAGCTCGCAGATTGTCATGATGCGGAATCTTTTGTGCGATTAACTTATGACGACGAGGAAGAAGACGAACTTCTTACATATCCTTGACCATCGGATCAGCAATCATTGCATGCGTTGTCCAAGGGTGGTATGAAACCTTTGAGATCTAATTTAGTTTCCGGGTCCAACACTACCCAACCATATTGCTGTCGGGAAAATTCAAAATAATACATTCAAATACTGCACAGTCATCTGATTGCCACGATTACCAAAACTTACGAGCTAGCAAGGTATCTTTTCGTGAACAAGATGTCAAGAATGAGCACATCTCTAACAGTCAGCTTGCTATCATCCCCGACAGTTGAATTGTGGTTTACAAGCTAAACCTGGCCTCGGCTATGCATTTTCGCAATCTGCATGGTCTTGAAAAATGGTGAAGCTGTGCCGGAGTTTTCTTTTGCTCTGTATCATTCAGTTTTTGAAATTTATTTCCCTCTCGAACTCCAATCATGTGTAGGCCAGAATGAGTTTCCAGAGCTTTTGCGTCGTTGGGTACGTAGACATGCCTTTGGACAGCTTGGATATCATTGTCGTAAGTACCATCCAATAAACTCCTCACTTTACCTACTCACGATCTCGTAGATCGGTGGATCACTCCCAGGCTTAATGCAGGCAATGATTCTCAAACGCCTTGGTTACAATATTCACGTCCTCGAACAATATACCACTTCATTTCGGGAAGGACAAGCCGCCTGGCGTGATGATGACGGTCGAGGGTCTGGATAGTGGCAAGATCCGAACTCACCATGGGCAACACATTTTGATGGCACGCTCTTTTTAGTTGAGAAATACTTTCGCATTTTTCGACCATTGGCAGCACAAAGTACAAATTAATGTGCTTTACATTGCTCATTCCAAGAACGATTTATTCTGGACAAGATTATCTTGCAAGACGATGAAAAAAAGTTCGTTCATTTGCTCTTCATTGAAGTAGGGAGGTTGTGTCATGTGTATGAGCAATTTCGCAGGCCGACTGTACCACAACGCCCGTCATCAATCGGCGAGACAAAGCAGGAGATGGGGTGTTCAGTTGTGAAGCCTATTTTAAGCGATAATTCAATGCAACCGATCGTGTTTATCTTTAAGTTGGTCTGGATTCACCTACTTGAGTTTAGTATTTCCCCACAATCAATGTATAATAATTATATACCAACAAAAAGTGTAGACTTCTTAGAATTTCTTACCGATTTACTCACTGAATGTCGAGTCATAATCCAGAAATCTAAAGATTGACGTTTCCAATACGCCGCTACTCCGTAAAAATGTGTCTACTCTTACTGTACTTTGAAGATATCCGGATGGTACTAGTGAAATGCGGAAGATGATCGGCCCAAGTTATTGAAACATACCGTTGTTCCCGTCAATCATGGCCCACCGAGCAAGTCGGCACCATCAAGCCCGCGAATTCTTTCAAGCTTTCCATAAAATTTAATTGGGTTTGAAATGCTCATACTCATGCCGTTTCTTGAGTGACTAAATCAGTTTGGATTGACAGATAAAATTTAAAGTCTGAGCTTGATGTTCCACTTTACATTCATCGCGCCGCACCAACTGGATCAATGTATGAGAAACAATGTGCTCAACGCAAATATCTCATTGGCCCACCCCTTAGTTTCGCTAATGCCGTTTCCCTTCATGTCTTGGGACTCATTAGTAACGGTGTCTGCGATCGTTTCCCGAAACTCAAACTTATCATCGGTCACTTGGGCGAGCACATTTCTTTCGATTTTTGGAGAATCAATCATTGGTTCGAGGACGTCGAAAAGCATCTCGCCGAGAAGAATGGTGACATCCCTTGGAAGAAGACTATCGTTGATTATTTCAAGACAAACATCTAGATCACAACCTCCGGTCATTTCCCAACTCCTTTTGTGAGTATTTAGGTCCCAAGAGATTGCTATTCAGCGTTGATTATCCATATGAGACAATTGAAAATGGATATGGATAGTGGGATGGAGATGCGGAGAACATCAAGAAGGCGCTTTGTGGCCGAAAAGCATATGAGGATGTTGGAAGGGAAAATGCAAAGAAGTTGTTGAGACTCGGAAAGTATCATGATTCGGAAGCTGTGGTCGAGTAAGGTTTTAAGCTATCCACCAGTCGAAGGAAAGAGCCTGGTTTTCCTTTTCAATGTCTATTTATAGACCAGATGGAAATAGTTTTTAGACAATCAAGAATACGTTCATTTTTCGAATCAATCTCACCTCGAAATACATCTTATAAATCAGTAGATGCTCGACAGAAGTTCAACCTGAATGACTGTCCTGACCAACAATCTCACTGAGAGGGCACTTGCCACTAACGTGAGAATTTATGATTCAGCGACTTGATCTCATAAACTGTGCAGGTCTCAGAAGCGGATCGAATGTGTACTAGGTAGCTGCCTTTCATTTAGCTACGAGCCTTCTGATATTCCCAAAATTAAAGGGTTATACCCAATCATGTCTTGACTTATGATCTTCGCTTGTAGATAGAGACAGAACCATTGATCATTTCGTTTGTGGAAAGAGGAACAAAGCGAATGTCGATAATTCGAGGCACAGAATAATGAGTGGACTGGTGATAAAACGTGAATGTATTGAAATATTGTAATAACAGGAAATGCCTGGTGAGGAGAGTAGCACGCAATTCTTCGAGTAACGAGGAAATGTAACGACGGGACGCGTTGAGTGCGAAAGAATAGCACTTCAACACCTTCGACCATAATAATTGTCAAGCAAACCATCTCTTGAACCAATTAATAGCCTGAGTCTCTGCCTTGTTTGCACACTCCAATTCATCCTTATCGTCAGGATGTGTTCTAGTAGCAAATCCATGCTTTGCACCTTGAAAAACACTGACTTCAGAATTTCTCTTGTGCTTCATCTGAAGCGTTTCCTGCATTTGATCAATTTGAGGAGCTTTCATAGCTGAGTCTTTATCTCCGATAGGCTGCGCACAAATTATCTATACCCGTGGATTATCCACGGATAATCTGCTCTGCGGATTATTTATGAAGGTTTTAAAATTACCCACTTTATATAGATAATCTGTAGATTATCTACAAATAATTTATTTACTTATAAATAAATGGATTATCCATAAATATATGGGTTATCTATAAATAATTTGCAAATTATCTATAAATAATCTATGGATATAGATTCTCCAAAAAAAGTGAAGAATCTCCGCTTTTTTCACTTAAAATATAAAGCTATTCCTAGATTATTTTCTAGTTCAAAAGTGATTCAAGCTTAGATTTATACTAATTTTTATATTAATTATAAAATTATATCAATATTATGAAAGATTATGAATAGTTAGTTATACAATATATGGGTAGGTGGATATCCGCAGGTAATTTGTATTCGCCCTACGGATTACCTGTTCAGATTCTGAATTATCCGCTTTGTAGACAAATTATTCACGGATTATCTGTTGAGGCTATTATCCGCCCCGCGGGTACCCGTTGCGCAGTCTAATCTCCGATTACTATACTGAGTGGGATTTTGACTGCTTCGATATCGTTTGGGACCTCAATATAAGAAGGATGGGCAGTAAATGCACAATCGATCAATTGTTCAGGAGTAGTAGATTTGGCTTGCGATTGATGTCGTTGAACGCGCGAAGACAAATCGTCTTGTGTAAGAAGTACAGTATGTTTTCCACCCCAACAGAAACCCGCAACACCTATCTTGAGATCGTTCGTTGGAAAGGGAGGTTCGGATGATCCAAGAGCTTGAAAGAAGAAAACGACTTTAGGATGGGTGATGGGAATTTTGGTCTTTGTTTTCCAGGGAATTGCGATAGTCATAGCTTGAAAAACATATATAGGTTTGAAGAAAATTGTCGTAGACCAAGACGCGGGTTCCATAATTTTATCAAATAGAGAGATGGCGCGAGGATTCATTGCATTGCCTATGAAGAAATTAGATTGCCTTCAAAGGTAGATGAAGCTGGAGACAACGAACCATCCATAAAGTCGGGACAATAAACCAAGACTTCTCCTCCTTTGGCATAACGATCTGCCGTTACTCTATTGTTCACAAAATTCCAGCCAAAAGCATCAGTAATGATAACGACTATACCCTTTGGCTCATTCCCATTTTCTGGTTTTGCGACATTAGTTGGAAGACCGTGAATTATGATTTCTTTGCCAGTTGCGATTGTTGTGCTTAACCCCCCTCGAAAGCAATCTGGGCACGACATCTTTGAAAAGTTTGAAATTGATTGATGCGAACTTTAAAGAGATTCGTATAGGATTGAGTTGAAATTAAAGATACCTTTTTGGATGGACTTACTGAAGACATATAAATACCTGGTAGTTGAGCATGTACTGATGGAAGGATGATAGGTTCCTCATCATAAACTACACCTTGGAGGTTTACCTCTAACCATCCTTACAATGTAGTCAATCGGTGCCAGCTTACATTGAACTCGAGACGCCACGGTGTGACTCGAACCTCATGAGGTTCGATTGCATCAAAAATAACATCCAGAAAAGAAGTAAAGTGAGAGAGAGCATCGGTGAAACCAATCTGGATGTGAATGTCCAACCACACCGTAGATGAAGGAGTAGAAATTGGTCAAGCATGGAGAGAGGTCTCTAAGTCTTGTCGTTCAAAAACTTGTCAGTGCGAGCAGTAGTGTTGTGTATGGAAAAGGTCGCTGAACGAGAATGTTCTCTTGATTGCAACAATTGAACACCTGGAAATGATTTCATTTGGTACAATGGGCCATTGATGTCCTTCATGAGGAAAGCTGGAACATGTCGTTCTTTGTGGGAGTATTCAAACATGATATCAAAATAACAATTAAGCTACGGAGTTACCGAGGCCTATTTGAACAATATTGACAATACACTAAAAATAGAATTCTGCCTGAGCTAAAAGCATATTTAGGATTTTATAATATAGTTTTAATAAAAACTTATTGATTTAAGCCTTTTGAATTTATTATATATTCGAATTTTCATGAAAAAGTAGTATTTGTTGGAAGTTGTGGCACGTGCTCTAAGCTACTGTGCATATATCACTTCCACTTCGTAGTTAGATTTTACCTTAGTACAATTAATCTACATAGTCAATAATACATGCATTCCACTGGCCTGCTCCTTTATTGTGAACAGGTTATGAGCCCGGTAGCTCTGCAGTAAGACTAAGGCCGAAAGCTCTTTGAATAGCTTACGTTGCCAAAGGAGAGGTTGACGACGAGAAGCTCCTACGCAACGCGACGTCAACATACGAGGTGCGCACAGCAAACAGATTGCTGAGCAGCGACAGCGAAGTAACCACTTACATCGCGCCTTTTCCTCAAGTAAGAAAACTACGAGTTATTACTGAAAAGACCATTCATTCCAGCTTAACGCTGAAGAGCATCACCTGCTACATAGTGTTCGATATCACTTCAAAAATCATTATCTACAAATCAAAATTCACTATTCTTAATTACCCCGCCTTGAAGAGAATTTCTCCCTTCAAACACTAGTACATCCCAATCGGGACAGCGCAGTCTTAAACAGTTCCTCTTCCACTCTTTCATTCCACCATCAATCACGCCTAGGTCATCGACGCAAGCTTTCTACTTGCAGAACCTTCAAAATGAACGAAGACACTGGATCCAAGGATTACTCCAAGCGCATCCCTCCTCTCACTCAAGAGAATCACGAACGCTGGACTCGTCAAATAAGAATTCAACTTCGAGGAAAAGGTTGGTTCTATACATGCGAAAAGACATTGCATGAATATGCACGGATTGCAGCAGCCGACAACTTAATCCAGGATTTCGAAGAACTTCAAGTCTCCAGCGGCAGCGGCAGTACCACTACAAAGATTCGACTCAATATCGACAAAAAGGCCACCTTTCTTAAGGACAACGCTAGTGCATTATCTTACATCTGTCGCTCATTATCTGACGATGATGAGGCTTTAGTGGACGAATATGATACAGCAAAGAAACTTTGGGATTATCTAGCCGTCAAATACTCCAGAATCGATGATATCGCAGCAGACGAGTACCTCCTCAAGATCAAGACCTTCTCTTTCGACGATACCCCTGATATGACTATTATAGGTGCATGGGATAAGCTCAAGGATCTTCGACGAAAGCTCTTATCTGCGGATGCTTCAGCCGGTGCTTTGTGTACAGATAAATCACTCTTTCAAAGCCTGACCTTGTCTCTCCCTGATGAGTACAAAGTCATCATTGATATGATCCGTGTCGTCAGTTCTACTCTAAGCATTGACGATAAGATCAAGCATCTACAGGTCAAAGAGGCAGAGATCCAGACCTCTGGAGACTCGGCACACCTTGCAAAAGGAAAGAAATATGTCCCACCTCATCGCCAGCGTAAGGCTAGCACAAGCTCGGAGACCGACACATCCATCATCACTTGCGAACTCTGCGACAAACCTGGCCACTCAGTCCTAAAATGCTTCCAGCTCCGTCGCGCCAAGCGTCTCTTGAAATCCGATTCAAAGCACAAACAGAAGAGAAGACAATCCACCTCTCCAGTGCGAAAAGACAAAAAACGCAGGGAGCACAAGGCTCATATCGCCGAATCAAGCTCCGATGCTACTGAAAGTGTCGTCGATAGTGAGTCTGATTCTGAGCATTGTCATCTCACCAAAGAAAGTATTAGTAAGGCATCCCCATCGCAATGGTACGCTGATACCGGCGCCACTTCACACATGTCTGACCAACGTTCTCTATTCAGAAGTCTAATTCGTACTCCGCGACGAAGGATAACGGTTGGTGGGGGAGCTATGTACTCGGATGAGCGAGGAACAGTGGACATGGTGTGCAAGGATGGAACAAGGACATCATTAGCTGGTGTGCTATATGTACCTGGATTGGGGGTCAACCTGCTCTCAGCCAAGAGAATTTGTGAGGCAGGACTCAAGGGTACATTCAGTCTCAAGAAGATGTATTTCACACCAGAAAACGATAAGAATAATAAGATCATCAAAGCAACAATGAAAGATGGGATGTATATCATCTCGCATGTGAAACCAGGATACGAAGATTCTGCATTCTTTGCGCTCTCTGCAGAGATCATTGATGGTACAAAAGGGGAAGTCGAAGAATTAACCATGACGGAGAAGGAAAGATACCTTATCTGGCATAGACGCTTCAATCATCTCGGCCCTGACAAAATCAGGAATCTGCACAAAGTCACTACACTCCAGAGACCGATCAAGGTCCCTTCAACTCTTGATGTCTGTGAAGTGTGCGCTCTCACAAAGATGACTAACAGAATCCCAAGTCAACTAAGTGCACGAAAATCCAAAAGGCTAGAATTGATCCATTTCGATGTTGCTGGCCCTTTCCCAAGGACCATTCGAGGGCACAGATACTTTCTCCTTATTATCGATAGCGCCACAAGGGTAAATTGGGTCATCCTATTGAAACAGAAGAGCGATGCAATACCCTTACTGAAAGCCTGGAAGCAAGAAATTGAACTTGCTACAGGAGTAGCTGTAATTGCTGCCAGAACCGACAATGCACCAGAGCTTCTTCAAGCCGTCCGGGAATGGAAGACTGGTGTGCGATCAGAGGTTACAGTGGTTGTATCGTCTCACCAAAATGGTCCAGCTGAACGCAATATACGCACCGCAGAAACCGACATGAGAGCAATGTTGAAAGAAGCTCATTTACCATTAGAATTTTGGGACGAAGCTGTCGAGCACGACGTATACATTCGAAACCGCACTAGTATTGGCCCAGATGCAAATGGAATCGATCGAAGCCCACTCGAAGCATTTACAGGCACATTACCAGATATCGATACATGCAAGGTCTGGGGGAGTCGATGTTACGCCTATATCAACCCCAAAACCATCCCAAAAGGACAAAGGCATGATAAACTTCGCGACACAGCAAGGGTTGGGATATTCCTGGGATACTCAAAAGACACCACCAAGCATATAAAGGTTTATTCACCAGAGCTAGGTTATACTTACCGCTCTTATCGTGTTACAATCGACGAAAGCTACAAAGGAGGGGATCTGGATCTCAAACTCAGAAACTGTGTAGCTGGATCACAAGGTACCAAGAATATAGAACCTGATCGCAGGCCTCGCGGCAGACCTAAGAATGTCCCTGAATCATCGTCTATTCCAGTCGATCCACCAATATCACCAAATGAAATAATCACAGACTCGATAGAGGTGCGCTTGCCAATACCAAAACGAACAAAGACTGAAATACCACGCTTTGATGAAGATGAATATGGAAATATCCGACAAGTGGCTGATGATTTAACAAGACCGGCAGGGGAAAACAACAAAGAAAGTGATGTTACTTTACCTGATATAACTTCACCACCTGATCATACACCACCGAAGTCAAGGGCACCTGAGGATATAACTTTACCACTTGATCATACACCATCGAATTCGAGTACATTACCTGAGAGTGTATTACCTGATATTGCACTACCTAATGAAACTTTACCACCTACTGCATCTACATCTGCATCTACTTCCACACCACCTTTGAGATACAATCTTAGGAAGAGAAAGAGAAGCGATGACGACGATATAGAAGAACAGAGAGACTCCAAAATCATTCGGGCCTTACTTGCTTCCTTAAATAAGCCAGGATCAGAATCAATTGAGCACGCCATGATTGCCATTCCAAATATTCATCAATTCGAACAGGAGACGAATAATGAAATTGCTTCGAAGATCTTGACTATTTTAGCAGATGCACCAGCAGAAGCTGAGACCGCTCTACCAGCAACGGAAATACTCGGGATCAAGATACCGAATACATATAAAGAAGCAATGGCAGACAAAAAGCACGCGAAAGACTGGCAAGCTGCAATTCAAGAAGAAGTAGACTCATTGGTCAAGAATGGCACTTGGGAAGAGTTCATTTTACCACAAGGGAGCAATCTAGTTTCAACGAAATGGGTATTTGTTGTTAAGACGAAGGATAATAAGGTAGAGCGATTCAAGGCCAGATTAGTGGCTAGAGGGTTCAGCCAAGTTTTAGGTAAAGATTACAACGAAACCTTCGCCCCCATTGTTCGACTCGATACTCTTCGCCTTTTCCTTGCAATTGTTGCAAGAGAGGACCTCGAGTGTTCCCATTTCGATATCAAAAATGCGTTCACCGAATCACACTTGAAAGAAGAAATCTATTTAGCACCCCCTCAAGGTGTTCATGTTCGTCGCGGCCGCGTTCTACATGCACTTCGGAGTCTTTATGGGCTAAAGCAAGCTGGTAGAGATTGGAGCCTTCTTCTGAAAGGAGAGTTAACCAAGATGGGTTTCGTACAAAGCCTTGCGGATCCGTGTTTATACACCAATCACCCGCGCCAGCTAATTCTCCTAGTGTATGTAGATGATATTGTTACTGCTGCTGCACAAAAACGAGATATTCAATGGTTTTATCACAACCTTTCTGCTCGATTCAACACCAAAGACCTGGGGGAGATTAGTAAGATCTTAGGAGTGCGCATCATTCGTAACAGATCAGAGAGAGTGTTAACTATGGATCAAGAAGAGTATCTGGATGCAATGCTTACCCGATTCGGGATCTCCCATGGTCAACACACTCCAAGGAAGATACCAATCTCGGATTACAACCAACTACGACCAACGCTCCCAGACGACGAGCTCACTGATGTAAACGAATACCAGCAAGCAATCGGCAGTACGATCCACCCTATGGTTTACACTAGACCGGACATCGCATTCGGTCTCGGGAGATTAGCACAAGCTATGTCTAACCCTGCCAAACATCACAGCGTTGCACTCAAAAACCTT